CCGGCTATAGGCTATAGGACCGTCTATCAGCATAGGCCACTTAGGGCCTGTCTGTCCTAGGGGTAGCCCGGGCCTACTCTACGCAGTTAGGGTAGTTGTAGGAATTCGAGTTGGTACTGGGCCGATATTTTCCCAGATTGGCAGATATGTCCCTCACGAATTTCCTTACAGGTAGGTCTCTCGGTTAGCCCTCAGTCAAACAAAATTACGAATCTATCCTACCGCTGTACTATACAGCCTCGCAGTCAATCTCGGCAGTAGAAATCAGCAAGTCATTGCAGGCTTACCCTCCCCAGGAGCGAGAACCTCCGAGCTAGGGATGTAGGCGAGGTGAACGGCGAGGAAGGTTTCCCTTTTGAGCCGCTTCATATCGCAGGACAACTGACTTTGCTGTCTTGAGAAGTTCCCTCCTGTAGAACCACCTGTTCTCAGAAGGAGGCTGGAATGCGAACCTCACAAGATACTGTTGGTCGGGGCCGATGCCCCACTCGTCCTCAATCCATTCCACTTCATATCCCTTGTCAGGGATCAGTGGACCAAACTGAGGGGGCCGGTCTGGGAATGCATCAGCTGGAGTGAAAGGCGGCAACTTAGATGCATGAAAGACCGGGTTGGTGCGTAGATGCAGCGGGACGTCGATAACATACGGCGGACCGAAGGGATCCGCGCCCACTGTATCTAGGACCTGCCATGGACCCTGGTAACGTGGCAACAGCTTGGGGGAGATATCCTCCTCCCTCGACAACTCAGAACTGGTCACCCAGACATAATCACCAGTGCTGATGGGGGAAGGCCGCCTGTGGCGATTAGCTTGTTCAACCATAGCCTTTTGGGCTTTGAACAAGTTTGTGCGGGCTCTTTCCACATCTAGACGATAACGCCTGGTGAACTCTGTTGTGCCTAGTGTCATATCAGGCTTAGCCTTATCGATGATGTCATCGAGAGGCTATCGTGGTTCACACCCCCAGTGTAACCGGTAGGGAGTGAACCCTGTCGAGGAGTGGACAGACATGTTATACATGAGTTGTGCCCTGGCCAAGTGAAGATCCCAGTCCTGCTGATCTGGAGAGATGACAGGACACAACAATTGGAATAAGACTTGGTTCATCATCTCAGCCTGACCATTGGCTTCAGGATGATGTCCAGAGGTCATGTCCAATCGTGAGTGCAGGTAATCCTACAATAGGACTGCACTCATCGCTACAAAATTTGGGGTCTCTGTCACTGACGATAGAAGTGGGCGGTCCATGGTGAGTGACCCACCTCTCAGAAAAGGCTGCTCTCACAGCCAGAACCCTAGCTACCTCTGGCAAGGGGATGAACTCTGCGTATTTGGAGAACCTGTCCACGCAGACCATAACCTGACGCATACCATGAGGGGTGGTCTTGCCTAAAGCTGAGAAATCTATCGCCACAGATTCAGCAGGGCCATCAGGTATGGGCAAGGGTTTGAGCAGTCCCAAAGGAGGTCTACGGTGGACCTTATTCCTTTGCCAGAGCTCACAGGTGTCCACATAACGCAACATATCACTCCGCATCTCCTTCCAGAAGAAGCGCTACGACATGGCTGCATAGGACTTTAGGAACCCAAAATGTCCACGGGCATCATGACACTTTGACATCAGCAATGTCCTGAGCCGTTGGTTCTCCGGAATGCACAAGTGTTCCTCGCCTCTGCTGTAAGTATACAGCAGGTCTGAACTCAGAGCATAGCCTGGTTCAGAGTTAGGATCTGCTTGCAAATTCCTGACAATGGGTCTGAAAGTCTCATCCTGAGGCAGTAGACGAGCAATGGTCTGACGGGTCTCCTCTCCAAAGGAGTGAGTAGAGTAGATCAGAGCAAAAGAGTCAGGCCTACGAGAGAGGGCATTTGCTACCTTGTTGTAGCAGCCCTTCTTATGCTCCGGTTCAAAGTCAAACATGTTTATGAACTGAATGTACCGTGCCAATTTGTCATTTAACTCTCCCTGGGACTTCATCCATTGTAAGGTGGAGTGATCTGAAAAGATCTTGAAGTGTCTCCCCAGGAGAAAGTGTTTCCAGTGTTTCAGGGTACAGACAAAAGCATAAAGCTCTTTCTCGTAGGTGGAGTCCTGGAGCTTTTGAGTCTTGATCTTCTTACTCATAAACTCAATAGGCCGTAGACCATTGCCATCATCCTGCTGAAGAACTGCCCCAATGCCATACTGACTGGCGTCAGTGGTCAGGATGAATGGCAAAGTGGGGTCAGGTAGCTTCAGCACAGGCGCACGAGTCAAGGCCTTCTTGAGTCGTGTAAAGGCCAACTGACAGGGAAGGGACCAAAGAAAGGGAGTATCTTTCTTTGTTAGGTTGGTCAGGGGTGCAGCCACGACGGAAAAGTTCCTGACAAACTTTCTGTAGTACGAGGCTAGACCCATGAAGGACCTGACATCCCTCACTGTCCGTGGCTGAGGCCACTCCTGAATAGCAGCAAGCTTGGCTGCTTCAGGAGCCAGGCCATCTCCAGAGATTACGTGACCCGGGTAGATGACAGAGGGAACTCCAAAAGAAGACTTCTCTCTGTTGATTTTGTACTGGTTGTCGCATAATGACTGAAGAACCAGAGCCAAGTGCTCCGCATGTTCCCTGGCAGTTTTGTTGAATACCAGGATATCATCCAGGTAGACAACCATAAACTTGTCGAGGTAAGGCCTAAAGATGCGGTGCATCTCTGTCTGGAAGGTGCCTAGGGCGTTGCAAAGTCCAAATGGCATGACCAGGAACTCGTAAGTCTCATACCTGGTCTTGAAGGTTGTCTTGTAGACATCCTCCTCTGCCATCTCAATCTGGTGGTAGCCAGATTTGAGGTCGACTTTGCTGAACACTGTGCAGCCCTGCACCATGTCCAGGAGGTCGTCGATCCGAGGAAGTGGCTCTGTACTCTTCCTAGTGATCTTGTTGAGACCTCTGTAGTCAATACACATTTTGAACTCGCCATTCCCTTTGGGTACAAAGAGAACTGGTGCACCGCATTCAGAAGTGTTGGGTTTAATCTAGCCCTTGCTGGTTAGGGTCACAAGCTGTTTTTTTAGCTCCTCTAGCTCATCAGGGGACATCCTGTAGATGCGGCCCTCGGGAGGGACCGATCCAGGCAGTAGCTCAATGTGATGCTTGGTTGGCCGGTTGGGTAATCCAAAGGGCTCCTGCATCAGATCAGCATACTTGTCAACAACCTGCTGTATCTCAGGAGGACAGGAAACAGGGGGAGCGTCAGTCTGCTTGACCAGAGCTATGAACAGACGCTCATGGTCATACTGGCGTGAGAGAGAGTAAAACTCTCTCGCTCTCAGGCAGTAGCAAGAGGTTTTAGGGTGATGATCAGCAGCAATCATGCATGGTTGATACACCCCCTGGCTATTAGGTAGCTCAACCTTTGGGATATGCCAGTCGATCCTCGGGTTGACTGTCTTCAGCCACTGAATGGAGAATACCAAGTCAAAAGGCAGCTCAAGGAAGATGTAGAAGTTCAGACTGTGTCTGACTTCTCTAGCACTGTCGAAGGTCACAAGGATACCCTTGACCTTCTCCCTGATGCTGAGTACTGTAGAGTCACCAATCCTCACCAGCAGCGGTTGCTGCAGCTGCTGAACTTTCATGCCCACATGAAGTTCCTGGTGGCTCC